GTGTGTGTGTGTGTGTGTGTGTGTGTGTGTGTGTGTGTGTGTGTGTGTGTGTTTTTCTTGATTGATTGAAATTGAATATTTGTTTTATGTTAAGGATTAATAATTATATTTTAAATTACTGGAATAACTTGTTAGGTGTTTCTACCAAATATGTAAGCACAATACAAATTGATATTTAAATCAATTGCTTTTAAAGCTTTTGCTTTTAAATGATTAAAAAGTAAGATAAAATTGCTTGCATTGGCATGCCTTAGCCCGAGGTGGTTTGACGTGTTCCTGGGGACACCGGATCTTGGGTCTATTCCTCATCTCATAAGTTGTATATTTTGTCTTGACTCATATTTTATCCATGCCTTATTCTTTGTGGTTCTGCCTGCATTGTTTGACTTTGCAACATATTTCAATAAACTGATTCATCCATAAAAACTGTTTTAATGCTGTTTTGATTTACAAGGAAGTCATCAGGATAGAAATATTGGAGCTGCCATTTCCAATTTGTCTTTGATCCTGCAAGCTCAGGGCTGTCAACCTTGTTCTTCCTTTACTACCTGATGAGCCATTGAGCTGTAACAAGCATTTGTATATGTGGTGGGTCACTTGATGTGACAGGTTAGAGACTTAATAAATAGTTAAGCAGAGGTAGGGATGACAGCCCCTGCAGTTTGCACCTCTAAAAATATACATTTAATTTACAATAAATACCTGAAGCAACCTGATAAAGCCGAAGGGGAGAGCTTCTTATAGCAAACTGCATGTTTAATACTGTGAAGAAAGGTAATCACAAATATTAAAATAGGAACAACCTGTCTGTTATCAATTTATACATCATTAGTAAAACTCTGGGGGGGGTGATTTACTAACCTAAACACACGCACGCACCAGGTGCGTGTGATTTTCACACAGCAAAACGTATTTATCAACCAAAAAGTCTCTAAAAGCATATTTCCACTAATGCCATATATGGAAAAATCATGCACATGATGCATATATAATGCTGCTTCACAGTTTAGACAAAAATGGTTAGCTCATGCATTTACATTCCTGCATTCATCAACGCAAGCAACACAACATAGAGCTAATTTACACAACATCACCTTGCAATTCATGCAGGGCTTTGCACACCCCACCTGCTGGGTGTGTACACACTACAAAGGTGTTTAGATTCCACCCATAGATCATGCTGGGAGGGAACACACTAGAGGTGTATACATGTTCGTGGTGTGTTTATGAGGTTAGTAAATCAACCCCTGGGTCTCACTCTGATCACATTCTACCTGTTTTCTTTTAACAGACCATGATAGAACTATGTCTACCTGCCTCTTGTTCACCTTACTGTTGCAGATCTGCTTTTGTTTAGCAGGCAGTACCCTATCTAATTTATATAGCACCCACATATTACATATACTTCAGTCTCTTTCCCCAAAGCTCACAATATACATTTTCAATTTGGGAGGAAGTTTACATTTAGCATCAGCAGGTATTTGAAATGTGGGAGGAAACTCATACAAACTCCATTTAGTGCTAATGCCAGGATTAAACTTCGGACCCAAGCTGCAGTGCAGGAGTATTGACCCACATGCTACCTGTCCATATTGCTTTTTTTGTTGTTACTATGGCTTGACCACTAGGGGCCCGCTCTCACTAGCCCATCTGCTATAACGCTTCATTTTATCAGACGAGCTAGTGCTATGTGGCAGCTCTGGCAGTGTGCATTGTATTGGACAAATTTTTAAAAATGTTATTGGTAGTGTACAATATGTACACTCTATTCAAGTCCCCGCAAAGCATCATGGTGCACTGCGTTGCCATGCAGTTATCTGCAGTGGCATCCAGTACAGTATCACACCGGAGGTGTGGTGTGAACGAGGGACATAGAAACAATTGTTTTCTATGTGTCCTAGCAGTGACCTGTGCTGATCTGATGCAGTAAAATGCAGGTCGCTGCTGCATATGTGAACGGGCCCTTAGACTTTGTAATATAATTACCAATTATGTAGGAGTGAACGTCTTGTGTTGTGGTGCTCTATGTGAAACAAATGGTGAATGATTTTTGTAGTGCAATAAGGTGCACTGCAGCCAATTGAAGTTGAATCTTAATGCAGCATACCATAATGCATGGTAACTTGTTCAGTTAACACAGTGTGTAGTGTAAAGGGGCCTTACTGTATAACATTTAATTTCCAAAACACCGCATATAGCAATACACTAAAAAATACTGTATTCTCATTTATCAGCCTTTGATGACTCTCAGTGCTGCTGATCTCTTTCAGCTTCTTGTTTCTTTTGCAATCACTTCCAGTCTACATGCGCATAGTTTAGCGATGGCTGCATGGCATTGGTGAGATTCTTGAAGATGATGACAATGGCTGTAACGCATCTGCATGTTCATTGGTAAGACAGCTTGTAGTCTACATCAGGAGTATATGTCATAGGGTGAACAATGTTAAGACAGGGACAGAGCAATTTCACCCCATAACAGAACATTCCAGAAAAAGGACTTTCATGGCAGAATAACTGATCATTTTTGAATGAAAACTGAAGATCTCAAAAATATTGAAAACAAATTTTGAAATGACATTTAACATGTTAAAGCTTATATGAGATTTTAGTGTTTTGATTTAGATGTACTATGGAATAGTTAAAGGAGAGGGGGCGGGGTTATGTAAATACTAAGCAGCTGTAAGGAAGGGGCGGGGTTATGGTAATAGCTGAACGGTCAGGGGGAACTAACATTTACGGGGAACAGGCTTCCATACAACTGCTGCACATTTTCAAGACGGAGAGAGAGGAAGGAGGGGCAGAGGCACTGAGGAGAAACGGCCTTCCATGCACGCACTGTCATTTGCTGGCACAGACGACGGGGACGTGGAGGGGATTCGTGGATGCGCAGCAGTTCTCAAGGAATGCCGTCAGTCACAGTGAGAACAATCAGTTGGGAGGATCCCGACAGTATTGTCGGGATCTCTCCCCACTGCGGCGCTTAGCCCCGCCCACCATCTTAAAGTAACGATTGTATGTTTAGGGTGCATTTTGGGTTGTAGGAGTAAATTGCACAATTTACTCCTATAGCCCATGTAATCCAAAAGTAAAGAAAAACTTGAACCCCATAGTTCTCCTTTAAGACCACGTGTCAGGTTTTTTTTTTCTATGTCTATCAGGAAGGCATCTCTTGACTTTCTGTCCCAGAGAAACGGCAGAATGTAAGAAGAAATCTCTCCCTAACAAGGACATATTTCCTCTTAGACAGTGGTCACCAGAACAAATGTCATCCTTGGAAGATTTCCCTTCACATTCTGTTCCATTATCACTTTCTGTACAGGAGATATTGGGTACAGGTTCCGATAGTGAAGGTATTTGAGAATCTGGATTGCAGTCAAGTTGATAAGATGTTCCAAAATAAAACCAATCAATGTCCCTTAATTCATGATGTGTAATACGCATGTTTATTTGAGAGGTCCAATATGGTAAATGTCCAGAAAAAGAGATTTAAAATCTCCCCCTTTGATACTTAGCTTGACACTTGCCTTGTCTTTGACGATTTCTGCACACAGAAATCCCTCTATTTTTTGAATCTTTACTTTTACTTTGTAACTTATCTCTATTAAAAAAAAAAACTTTAAAAACCCTTTTCCATGGGCAGAGGTTGATGCTTTCTTTATCACATCAGAGACTATCAGAGCTGTAGGTATCAAATGCTAATACATTTTGAAAGTCTATTACACACACAGAAAATTAGAAAGTTGCACACTGGGGTACATGCTGGGCAAAGAAATCAGAACGGTGGAAAAAAAAACAAATACCAGGCAGCCAACAGTTATCTGGCGAAGCCGGTCCACCAAATACTTGGTGAGGGCTCTCCCGAAGAGTGAGCCTAAAGTGGGGAGAGGTAAATAAAAAATGTAGAGGTCGGAGAACTTCTCCCCTAACATCAGGATGGGCCTGGAAAGCACCAACACCCTCAGTTTTCTGTGGGATCAAAAGTGTGCATTTGTGCATAAAAAGTGTAAATAAATACGTGCCACTGCAAGACATGGCAGGCCTTCCAGCCTAGATAACAAATTGCTCCAGGCTAGCCACAAGGCCTGACCAAGAAGAGTAGTGCAGAAAATGCTTTAGGTGGCTTGAGTCAGGGCCAGTGTGCTGATTAATGAATTCAAAATTACACAGCAATCTTCAACAGATACAGGAGTGACACAATTTCCTTATAGCTACAGTTTATTTTGTGGATGGTTGTGAGCTGGTGTGTGCACCTTGTCGGCTGATCTAAGTGGACCAACCTGGAGCAGCACCTAGTACATGGGCTTTGGAAGTTGGGAATCCGATGCCACCACTGGGTTTGGGTAAGAATGCTGTGTTGTAGGGGATATGCATCCTCCTGCCTGTCCATATACATTTTCTAAATTCTGCACAGGGAGTTTTCAGGTAACTGGAGATTCAAAACTGTAAGAATCTGCAACAGGTTGAGAAGTCTGGGCAGAACATTAATTTTAAGAGTATTTGCTGCTGTCTATCTGCTGTGCGATAGACCCGTGGATCTTTAGGAAGCACAGGGAGTGATATCCTAAGTTGGCTCAGAAAGATTTTATCTCCCAATTGGGGTGTTTGTAGCATATATAGACAAGCAGATTAAAAGAATACAAATATAAATATCTGACCTCTATTTGCCAGGCTATGGGTACCAGCAGATACACAGTCCTGCTCCAAAGGGTATCGATAAAACATTTGGAGTACAGAAGTCTGTGAAGGATCTCATTTATCAGATCATGGGTATACATAGTTGATACGGTCGAATAAAAACACAGGTTAATCGAGTTCAACCTTTGGGTTTTGTGTGTTTGTTACCAAGATTACCTTTAACCCTGTATATCTTGTGCGCTGAGAAAAGTATCTGGATAGTTCTTGAATGATTCCATACTCTCAGCTGATACCACTGTCTGTGGGAGGGAGTTCCACAATTTTACAGCTCTCACAGTAAAGATTCCCCTTCGCTTTTTAAGATTAACCCCTTCGTGACTGACGACGTACAGTGTACGTCGCCAGCATCGATCTCTGCCAGCTTCAGGTGGTGGCCTCTTGTATTCTTGACTGAACTAACAGTAAACAGTAGACATGGGCAAAACAAAAACATTTTTTTCAAATGAAACAAATATGGCCGCTAGCGTGTTCTGAAAACTAATTAATGTATGCCCGAATATCATTTTAGTATATTAAATTCGTAATTTCGGATTCGGACGAACCGCCGAATCAACTGATTTTCGTTGATTTGCAGGTTCGTCCGAATCCGAATGCACATGTCTAGTAAACAGTTTATTACTGATTATCCCATCACCATTACAAAATTTGTACATTGATATCATGTCCCCTCTCAGTCTCTTCTTTTCAAGAGTGCACAAGTGTAACGCTTGCAGTCTTTCTTCATAGTGAATAATGTGAAACCTCGGTGCCACTACTCCAATCAAGTTAAGCAGCAGCTGAAATCTGTGTGGTCAGATATATAGTATAAAATTAATAGTAAAAGCCGCGCAGTTTCATTCACACAGCGCAGCTTTTACTATTAACCTCCCTGGCGGTATGATTATGTCAGGAATTCTGTGCCAGGGGAGGTTAATTAAGTCTTTCTTCATAGTTGAGGTCCCCTAACCCCTTTATTAGTTTTGTCACCATTCTCTGGACTCTCTCCAGCTCAAGGACATCCCTTCTGTGGATTGGTGACCAAAACTGAACCGCATACCCAAGATGTGGCCGGACCAGTATTTTGTACAGGGGCAGAATTATGGATTTGTCTTTAAAGTACATTCCCTTTTTTTTTTTTAAATACATGATAGAGCCTTATTTGCTGCTGCCTGGCTTTGCATGCTGTTACTAAGGCGACAGACCACTAGGAGTCCCAAATCTTTTTCCACCTCTGATTCCCCCAGGCGAATGCCCATTAACGAGTAGCTTGCTTTCATTTTAACTCCAAAATGCATAACCTTACACTTCTCAGTATTAAACTTATTTGCCATGCAGATGCCCACCCCCTATTTTATCCAAATCTTCCTGTAATATTTCTATGTCTTCTGTCAAGTTTACTACCAAATTGTGGTATTGTCAGCAAAAATTTTAATATTGCTATTAATAGCAATCCCAATATCACTGATAAACAGGTTAAACAGCAATGGCCCCAAGAGAGAACCCTGGGGCACGCCACTGTCAAACAAGAACCACTTGAAAAATGAGCCATTTATTAATACTCTGGACAGTTTTTACAGTTGCAGTAAATACCTGCAACTGTAAAAAGTACACAATTAAATGTTGTGGTGAAATTTCCCCTCTTTAATCCAAATTAAGATCAGCACAATAAAAATATATGCATTCAAATATACTCAAATTTGCAATCAAATTAGAGGCTAAGTCCACCTTTCTGACCATGTTTCATCATACACCCATATTTAAGAAAATGAAGAATGAAGACATGTGGATTTTTTTTTTTTCTTTCTAAAAAGTAGAATTTCCCTGTTCTTTGTTTTAAGCATTAAATCATCATGTCTCAATCCGCCAGAATGTTAGTGGGTTGGGCAACAGCCACCAAAAGTGTAACTATAAGAAAAGTGTTAATGACAAATGATAAAGAAGTAAAAAGAACAACTATTTCCGTGATTTGTATCACCACAAAAGTTAGAGGAAATGTGTGTTTTAGCAACTTCACAACAGAAGTTGCATGGTGGTAATTGGTTTCTCAGCTGGTTCCCAATTTAGATATGTAATCACTAATGACAGATATCCATCATAACCAAAGCTACTGGCTTAAAGCTACAGTAAGTTTTTTGTCTTTGACTGTGTGTAGCTTCCTCTTACCCGTGCAGAAAAGCCAGCAGATTTTAAAACTCTTTGAGCGAGCAAGCAAGTCTGGACAATGCTGGAACATGGAAATGAGGGCTGCCAAAACAGGAGCAACTGCACCTGCTGCATGTTTGAGGATCCTATTCTCTCCTACATGCTTCCTCCAATTCTGATCATAATCTTTGTGTTGGGGACAGTACTTAATGGATTTGCTTTGTGGGCCTTTTGCTTTCACATAAAGACATGGAAGTCTAGCACGGTCTTTCTCTTCAACCTGTCAGTAGCAGATTTCCTGCTCATGATTTGCCTACCCTTCAGGACGGACTATTACTGGAGGAACAAGACCTGGGCCTATGGAGATATCCCATGTCGGCTGATGCTATTCATGCTTGCCATGAACAGGGCAGGAAGCATCTTCTTCTTAACTCTAGTAGCTACAGATCGGTATATTCGAGTTGTTCATCCTTATAGCAAGATCAACTCCCTATCAACTAAGGTTGCTGCAGCCATGGCCTGTGCTGTTTGGTTTGTTACAATATTAATGACTGCCTCCATCCTCACCAAGGTCCATACTGGAGGTGCCATGTCCACAAAAGCATACTGCGACAGCTTTATGGTGTGTCCTGCGGCCTCGTGGTGGCATGATCTCCTCTTCATCTTCCAATTTTTCCTGCCTCTCTGCATTGTTCTTTTCTGTACTGGTTGTACCATCTGGAGGCTCAGACAACGGAACCTGAACAAAAATACAAAGATTAAAAAAGCTGTGAAATGTATCATAACGGTCGGCATAGTGTTCTTCATATGTTACTTGCCAAGTGTTTCAACCAGGATTGATGTCGTAAGGATTCGGGCTTCTCCAGAAAGAGATGAATGCAGTTTATACAGAACCATTGATAAAGCATTTTACATAACAGTCTGCTTCACATACATAAATAGTATGTGTAATCCTTTGGTTTACTATTTCTCTAGTCCTTCACTGAGAAAGTTTTATTTAAATATTCTGCAATGCTCAAGCCAAGCAGAGTCTGAATCAGATGCAGGACCAAACAATACCAACAATACTAGCATGTTTCCAAGCAACGACCAGATCTAGTAACACACATGGTCCATCTTATAGCCTGAGTAATGTTTAATATGGACACATAATATACTCTGCACAGATAGATTGTCCACCTTGCTTTGTGTTCAAGAAGCTACTATGTGTCTTCATGGTTCTTTCTATCTTACGTTCTTTCTACAAAGTTTTGAATGCAAAGTATTAGTAAATATAGTATTGCTTCAAACATGACTATCCTTTTCCATTTACATTTACCATATTAATACCCTGTTATCTTTTAATACAAATGATGTACTATGTTTATTTTTGTACTTATGATGCTGAATAATTGCTGCTTTTTGTTTCCCCTAAAACAAAAAAAGAAATAAAATGAAAAAATTGAACAACATGATTTTGTACATAGCATTAATGTCTTCTACGAATATAACTTTTTTTTTTTAATAGTGGGATTTGTATGTTGTCATGGATGTATAGCTTTAATATATCAGAATATGTCTAGCCAACCTAACCTTAAATGACTAAGTACAGTAATCAAGTGAAAACTAACTCTTAAGGGAATGGTCTGATTACAGAGGATGTGAAAATGGTTTCACAGCATTATAGGAAATTCTTGGTGGGGGGAAGAGGAAATCAGCCTATAGGTCACCTTTACAAACAAGGAGTGTGGAGTCTGTGGTGGTATACTAAAGTGGTCCATTTATAAAGCAAACATTCAGCGCTGCTGAATCAGTTACTGTCATTTAAACACATACGCACGCACCTGCAAGATTTCTCTGCAGTGAAAGTTTGGGGAATGTCAAATTTACCGCTTTAAAAATATGCCCTTTAGTATCTCTCCTAGTAAATTAAGTGTGCATCTGATGAGCTTTGAGGCTGGCTTCTGATTGTAAGCTTAAAAAGAGGATTGGGTCAGAAGCATCCGATATAGCCAATATATAAAGCAAAAACTGATGACTCATTTTGATCTGCCTTTACAAAGGAGTGAACAATGCAAGATATATACAGTACTGTGCAAACATTCTAGGTAGGTGTGAAAAAATGCTGTAAAGTAAGAATGCTTTCAGAAATAACAATGTTAATAGTTTATTTTACAAATTAACAAAACGGAACGTAAATGAACAGAAGAGAAATTCAAATTGGTGTGACCACCCTTCACCAACAACACGGGCTGTAAATGAACAGGAAAGGTTTTAGCAGGTTTAGGCATTTTCAAAGACCCCCAAACCCATGACATAACTGCAAACAAGTGCAGACCACGTCCACAAGGACATAAACTGTCATTTAGCTTAGGGGAGATGTCAGAGCACAGGTCCTCTTTATTAGAAGACTCCTGGGAGCTGGAAACAAATCCTTCCTCTTCCTCAGACACAAAATACAGGCAGAGGAAAGTCAAGAGGAGTCTCAGAGGGAGCAGGAAAAGAGGTAGCAGAAAATAGCAGAGGTAGCAGTGACTCACCTCTCTGCTATTTGTTTTGACAGCTCGAGAGCCCGATGTTTATATACATTTCACTCAAAAGATACAATGTATATCTTTTGAATGAAATGTATCAGTTCTGATCGTCTAGGCACGATCAAAGAGCTTTTAGTGAGATCTGAATCTGACTAAAGTCAGGGTCAGTCTCTAAGGTTATTATTAGCTGTTCCTAGGTTTGGCTCAGCCTAATAGCCAAAAATTAAAAAAAAAGTTAATTTATCAAGCAGTCATAGTGACTGCTTGATATAAACTGACAAGAAAAAAAAGTTTTTTTTTCTTCTAACAATTAAATAAAGTGTAAAACAAAATTAGGAAAATAAAAATTATATATAAATATATTTTTTATACTATAATTAATAATAATCAAAACTTGTGAAAAAAGTGTTTTCTTCCTCATTTATTTTATTCAAACTAAGTAAGGGGTTAGGTACACATATGTGATACAATTACATAGCCCTATCTGTCCTCTAAAAAACTATATATAATATGTCTGGGTACATTTAGTAAGAAAGTATATTACTGCTGTGGAAGAATCACAAAGCAAAAATGTAAAAAGTGTGTCAGTCATTTATGAACAGAAACTGAAAACTAGCTCAGTCATGAAGGGGTTAAACTGGCTCCCAAATGTGACTTTCTGCCCCAATCACATGGAAGGATATGCCATCTTTATTCAAAGTTTCAATAGCAGACTGTTAACATGAAATGGATAACTTGTTGATCATTGAATGCTGGTATCATCATATAATTTTTGTCTTGCCTCTGCCTGTATAACATGAACCAAAAAGTAGAACTCCGGTCTAAATATAAACCACTATACATTGCCATTAACATTTCTTTCACTTTTTAGTGAAGCTGTCATTTAAAATCTCCCCCTACTGCTGTCAATGGAAGACACATAGCATTGTATTTACTTTCAACCCCACCCACTGGATATTTACCGTGTGGTCCCGCCAGGTGGATAAAGTCTGGGACGTGCTAGTTTCTGTGTTTGCGCGCTCCATTTATTCTATGCTTATGATAATCACAGTCATAGGAATGATTTGGGCATGTGGTGCATGAACAGTAGGTGCGGTGAAGACTTTTTGTACAAAGAATGTGAAACACTGGGCAGGACCACACACTGAAGATTTTCCAGAAACAGCAGAACGTAAGTACATTGCTATGTGGTTTCCACTGTTGTAGGAGTTGAAGGAAGATTCAAAGGACATCTATTACAGCTTGCCAGGAAAGAAAGGATGCTCACTTTGCCAAAATCAAGCATTTTGTGCTGTCCTCACCATCACCTCACTGTCCACCATTTTGAAAAAAAATAATGTTTTATTTATTTTTCCAAGACAAAAAAAAATAAAAATACAACACGACAAAATTAAAAAGTAAAACAGGTGCAATAGGTAACAAAACAAACATAACACCAGCAGTGAAAACAAATGTCAAGGAAACAAGCAAAGGAAAAAATAACAAACCACAAACAATAATAAGCAAATTCTGTAGCCGTAAGAGAAGATAAACCAGGAGAGAAAAAAAGAAAAAGAAATGGAGAAAGAAAAAGAAAAAAAGAGATCCCCTGAAATGTATCACCATAAACACGATCCACCATTTAACTCCTATATCATACTGCTCTCTTCAGAATATACACCCTACTATGTACAAAACCCTCCATATCAGTCTAATTTCTGTCTGTTCTGTCTCTGCCTCCCCTGACGTGCGGTCAGGGGAGGCAGAGCCTCACCTAGTATTATGGAGGAAAAAGCGGTCAGCTTTTTCTCCATTCAGATCGGCTTCTAGCAGGTTACATAGCAGGGAAAGCCTCACCGCTGTGTAACCTGTCATGGACGGAGCTCTGCCTGTTAATTACAGACAGTGCTGCATCCAGCTTTTGACAGGTAGTTAGGTTACACAGCAGCGGGCTTCCCCACTGCTTGTGTAACCTAACTAGTGAGGCAAGAGCTGTCATAGCCTCCACTCTGTGTTCGAGGCGTGAGCTCTGTGGATGGTTTGGACCAATGGCAAAGTGTCATTGGTCCAAGCTGTCCAATCAAAAAAAGAAAAAAAAATCAATGAGGCCATCCATCTCGATGCCTCAGCAGTCATGTGCAAGAGGGACAGGAAGGCTCCTCCCTTCCTCCTTCACACTAGCTTGGAAACCGGGTTGGGGGTAGGGCTTCAGCAGGCTGGGGGCAGGGCTTCGGTGGGCAGGACATGCTGGGGGCGAGGCTGGGGAATGCCTCACCCGGAACGTCACTGCTCTGTACTGTATATTTTCTTCAATTCATCCTCCACCCAATTTGTCCATCTTCTGCAACTCCTGTTTGTACCATCTTCAGCTCTTGTACCCGTACACCCCGTATGGACTAGAGCAATGTTTACATTTTTTTAAAGGATCCCAGGAACTTTTAGCCATAATGTGCTAGCATGTACAACATATTAGCAGGATTACCTGCCAAAACAAAACCCTCCAGCAATGGACTTCTTCCTCACTGGCACTTCCATCTCTTCCCAGGATTTGAGTGTTCAGCTGCTTGATTGGCCAGGCCCTGATAACATAACTCCCATGCATGTGCACAGGATTTATTTCATCTCAGCATGCCCAGCCTGTGTGCTGCTGAGTTGGCCATATGTGTACAGAAATAATAATCGAAGAAAAAAAAATGCTGACAGGTAGAAAGAAGCTTTAGTGGCAGAAGAGGCTTACACTGATCCGCAGGTTTTTTTTTTTAGGAAGCTTAATTTCTACTAGGAAGAACTAGGCTTTGTTTTGGCAATGTTGTTTTACAAAAAAATATTTGTACTTTCTATGCAATCTAAAGAGAAACAGGCATAAGAAATGAAAGAAATGTTTTTTTTTGGAAAACTAGTTTTAAAACTAAATGAAACATTTCATTCTATGTATCCTGTTTAGAATGACACTAAAATCATGTTTGTTACAAACCATGGCAATGTTATTTTGCCTATTTTCTTGTTATGCGCCACCGAAAAAAGAAACAAAACAAATGACCCACCCTCCAAAAAAAATTTAATGGTAAAAAATAGAAATAAAAAACGACAAAAAATAATAGCTAAGGAGAAAAGAGGTAGACGAGTTAATTAGGGCCTTTTAGGATTAACTAGGGGTTAAAAAAGGGGGAGAAAAAAAGGAAAATGTTTTATCAAAAAATTAACTTGTAAGGATTCTTTAAGTGATGCCATGTGCAGATAAAGGATCACGCCTTTGACCTACATGTGAATTACATTGTAAATGCAATAAAGCAACACACCGTTTTATTGTACTGTATTTTACTGGTTTACACAGGAGCAGCTACGTTGTGACAACTACTTCTGCTGTGTAATGCAAATGAATCACCAACTGTCATTTTGATGACTTGTAATGGTGGCAGGGGGAGAGAGACGCTAGATGTAAGAGATGCATGCTAAGACATGCATCTCTTACATCCAGCTCATTTGCCCCCTCTTACATTCAAAATCTTAAAGTGGTTTAGCCCCCCTGTACAGTTGTTAGTGTGCAAAAAAGCAAATGATCACAAAAAATGATGGACAACTGTGGACCTTGCTTGTGCACTCCACC